CATCTGTCACTTGTACATTTCAGGCAGTATATGTACATGGCCAGTATACAGCATATGTACATTGCCAAGACACTGGAAATATACATCAATATTCTGGAAATTGCCAATATTGTGGATATTCAGTGCTTGTTTCTATCAATGGATTACTTGGATTGTGTTTTACAGTGACAAGATTCAATCAAATTCATGAAAAGGCAAGGTATATTTTAGGTTATTTGAGCATTTAGTATAAAAGACATATAGGTGCGTTGTATTAAAAGTACATTAAATGCATGTAAGTAAACCACGACAGTTAATATTTCAATTAGTTGTCATAAGAATTAAGTGTTCACTACATGAAGAAAGTTAAATGGATAAGTTATTCAAATATAGAATATAATTTTAGTACCATATTTTATCAATTGTATCAAAATAAATTAATAAGAAGGATGATAATTATGTACCTCTTCTTTGTTGTGACATGACAGTTTAAGGTAAACCAAATTGTTTAATGACTAGAAAAAATAGTGTGTGTTTTGTGTCTGTGACCTTTTAGATACGGATGTTAGACTGACATGGGTATAATGTCCTTGTAAAAGACTTGTGAATAGGAGGGGCGGTTGGGTAGCCTAGTGGTTAAAGCGTTCACTTGTCATGCCGAAGACCCGGGTTCGATTCCAGACATGGGTACAATATGTGAAGCCCATTTCTGGTGTCCCCCGACAGGATACTGCTGGAATATTGCTAAAAGCATCATAAAACCATACTTACTCACTCGTAAATGAGATATAAATCCTGCTGAAAGACAAGTGTAGCACTTGGTTGTGTTGTCAAGTTGATAGCTGCTCAGAATAACTCGAGAAGAAGTACAAAATGTCTTATCCTGCACAGAAGTACAGAAGGGCGTATTTATTTTTTAATATATTTACCATATTTGATGTAATAAGCGTCCAGGGCGCCCTCAAAATTAGAAATAGGGGGCTCTTATTAGAATATTATTTTGGTGAAAAAAACAGAGTTGAAAGATAAATTTCATTGTTTATGCTGGCAGCCTGAAATGTTTATATGCGACTGATATATTTTTCCAGAATTTTATTGCCCATAATTAAGGGTACATATAACACACGAGTGTGTATTATACGCGAATAAATAAGTCTTTGTACATTGATGAATTGGAAGGGGTGCTAATTGGGATTGTTCACTAGCCAATATGTTAGCAAATATCGCAGTGAGCGCTTATTACGTCGAATACGGTATGTCATTTTATTTGTAAGATCTCCTCATTTCTCATAAATAGAACAATACAGAACTTTCTAAATTTATGTGAGTGTTTTTTTGAGAAAAATCTGAACCAACATTCATCCCTGAAAACAATAGCAGACTGAGGCATCAATATGAGTGTCTTTGAATCCACAAGGTCAAATCGATGATAACGTGTGGGATTTGTGACATGGAGTTCCCTAGTGCTGGTCAACTGGTTTTCATGTATATTTGTTGTTGACCAACACTTTGCTAAACCATTTCATTCTATAAATACTAGTAACCCTGTGGGGCTTCCACGTTAGAATTGGCCAGCAGCAGCATATGTTTGTCATTGTGGATTTAATTAACTGGGTGGTCATGCAAGGTAACTGAATTGTGTGGTCCACACTACATTATTTATAGACCACTCTCACTCTAGCTGTAATATTGCTGAGTGCAGTGTTTAAAATGAAAATACAAACTATTAATAGGGTACATTTTTTGTGTTTGTATACTCATTTTGATTATTGAGAAAAATAGTGATTTTACAAGCTAATATGTATTTTCATCTGAAATGGTACACAACTGGTTTGTTTTAAAAAATTACTTTGTCCAACTAAAAACACTGAATGGATCTTCTTTTATATACTACTCAAAGAAGTTAAAGAGCACCCGCTAAAATTTGTCTATCTTTGGTAAAAAATAGAACAATATATTCATGTTCATGTCATACTATGTTTACGACACTCATGCCTAAGTTCCAGTATTAAAATCGCTTTCACTCGAGAAATACCGGAATTTAGACACAAACAAAATATGACATGAACACTCATATAATATCCTCTGTATATGACAGATTAACTTTAGTGAAATTGGGTGTTCTTTAACTTGTTTTGAGTAGTATATGTCATGAAATCATGAATAGTTATTTTCAACAGGTCAGGTTCTCATATAGTAAACAAATATAATTTATATCAAACACAAAGAAAAAAAGCCAGTACAAATTAATTTCCTCTGTTAGATTTAAGTGATAATGTTTTTATATATGTCAGAAAATACTGTTTGCCTGCAGGATAGCAGTTTAGGCTTTTGTACTTGCCCACCAGATGTTAAACTAGCCTGGGACTAGCAGTGTAGCCTACTAGTCAAATCTTGTGATGTTTGGACAGGTTGCATGCTGATGTTTGAATTAGACAACTGTTTAAGAAGGAGATAACAAAATTAATTACCAGAGAGATATGAGAATGTATGACAGCTGTGAGATAACGTGTAATCCCGAAGTGATATGAACAAGTATATGTCATTGACAACGTATTTGAAATGAGTGATAGCCATAGATGACAATCTGTCACTTAGGTGATACAGGCATTATATCCACAATCTTATGAAAGAATATCAGGTGTATATTTCAGATACATTTCATGGTTTCACAGCGAATCAGATGATATATTGTGAATAGAATCATGTACATTTCATGATAAGGTTAAGAGACATCAATCATGTAAGACATGTGCAAGAGGCAATGATAAGTTTGTGGTTATCACCCAGAGATAGGCTATCACAGTATAATCCAGTGTTAAGTAGGTTCAAGTATTAAGTATCCGTAAGTATTGATAGATAAAGGTTTGGGTGAATGTCATGCTCAATGAATAGTGACATGACCTGATTGGGAAACAGGACATTTAGAACAGGTTTTGTGTATTATTCCAGGGAAGAATCGGTTGCAAGTATTCATTGGTTGTCGGAGGCAGGGGTTTATCTAGACTAGTTCAGAGGCTGATATTCAGCACCAAGTCTGCAGCTAATGTCAGTAAAGATTCCCAAATGGTAATGAATAGTTTCCTTGTTCATGTTAATATAGTAATGTGATTGTTTAGTCGAAGTGACTTGTATTTTACTGATAACACAACCAGTAAAGAGGAAGAGCCTTAGACGTTTAATTAAACTTGAATTGAATCAATGTTACAATACAATGTTAAAATGCTTCTAAAATGAGAACTTTTAGAACAGGTTTGAACAAAATAACAATATTTTCCCTAGTTGCCTGCATAGGGCACTTAGTTATGAATCCTAAATAATTCACTCTTTCATTAGCTGTTGTAATCTAGATATATACATTGATGCATATGTAAATTATGTATTAAATGAACACACATGCGCATGCACACAGACACACACACACACACACACACACACACACACACACACACACACACACACACACACACACACACACACACACACACACACACACACACACACACACACCATAGAGAATCTAAGTACAAGATTGTTTGTTGTTTAACGCCGCACTCAGCAATGTCCCAGCTATATGACGATGGTCTGTAAATAATCGAGTCATGACCAGACAATCCAGTGATTGATATCATGAGCATCAATCTACGCAATTGGAATACAATGACATGCATTAACCAAGTAAGCAAGCCTTACCACCCAATCCCATTAGTCGCCTCTTACGACACAGGATCTTCACGGGACTCTATGTACAAGAAATGGAATTAGATTTAAGTGCGACTCGATGCGAAAATTAATAATTGAGCCCATTGAGACATTTAGGTATTGAAAACCTCTACACAGACACTACCATCAATATAGCTCCTAATGCACTCACTAGCAGACTTGATAAGATTTGAACTTTGATATGCGCAGGTCAATATAAAGCTTCACACGATGGATCCTCCCGAGAGTTGGGATATTATGAGACTGATTGTTTCAATATTCATAACACATCCCTGTATAAATGACCTAAATACTTCACATCATCCTCATCACTTGATGCTGTAGAAAAACACTTGTCACGATTTGTGAGTAGACATGCAATGCATATGTGATGTGGTGTGCGGAGCTTGTGGCAGAGTACAGATAACAGCAGCTAGAGTGCTCTCCCTTAGAACATGAGTGGTACATGATTATTGCAGTTTTTGCTGTAAAATATCTAAATTAGTGACTTCCCAACAATACTTTAATGAACTGAGGTATGGCAGTTACGTAAGAGATAAAGGTTCATGTAGAAAGTCAAACCATACCCATATCGTGAGTTTCACCAACATGGAGAACATGTTTTAAACAAAGCTTAAACAATCCTAAATTGAAGTCTCCAACTTAAACCACTTGTCCAAAGCCTGAGTCTCATAAGATTCTTTCTGTAATCCCAGTGTTAACAATCCAACACAACACTAATATAGACTGAAAAAGAATGGTAAGTGCCAAGTTTGGGCTAGAAGAATCAAAGAGTTTGGCACCGACCGAAATTGTATCATATAATCTAAGTTCTCTAGTTCTCTGAAACCTTAGACAAAGAAAAATTCACTTTTATAATCATAAAACATGGCTGAATATCTAATAACATGATGAACCTTGAAATACATATTTATGTCTGTTAAATGTCCTTTAATTTAAAGTTTTTACAAATCTTTTTTTTTAAACACATTTCTTGGTTAAATTTTTAAATATGTAAACATGGTATTGTTAATGTCATTAATATGAGTTAAAAAAACTTATATACCCACATACTTCTATCAGTATCTATTAACAGTGAATCTCTATAAATCAAGTCACGATTCCAGAAATGTCATTATACCTTCATCAATTAATTCTCTGTATACAACTACAAGAAGGAGTGTTTATTATGACTTGCCTGAATCACTAAATAATATGCCAGGATAAACATGGAATATTTCTCATTGTAATTTTCAACATGGCAGGTTTATCTAATTTTCCCCTTTGCTTAATTTGTAGCTGAGGAATGGGAGTTTTATGGTAACAGCCATACTATAAGGAAGCATGCTGGTTTGTAGTGTGGAACTCATTGTATGGGATTAAACACACTGAGAAGTAATGTTCTCACCGACATGTGAACCCAGTGCTTTTAGTTTTGGGAGGAACCGTGAAGCTACGGAAGGGTGGTGCCTTCGAACATGATTGCCAAGTTGGAACTGAGTGGATAATGTGCAAATCTCAATCTTTGTATCATCTGAAACGAATGTGGAGGTGCAAATTCTTGCACAGTGATTCCATCTGTGTGCATCTGCATTTGTGGATTTGATATTCTGATTTCGTGTTCGAGGATTCGTGGTTGCTGTGTATCTTGTAAGACCTGTTTTACTGTGATATAAGTGCTGACAGTTGTTTGACGGCTTTGGATTTGTAAAGGAATATCTTACATTAACATTGGATTTACAAAGATGTTTCGGAGTAAAGGAAAGAAAACTAAATTGCCGTCCAAGATACCGGGGAAGGTGACAAAAGCTTCCGAAGACAGACACAGAAGGGTTGAGCCCAAAGGTAAGGTTGTATAGTAACATCTGTTTCACAAAGCGATCGTAGCACTACGATTATCTTAAGTCTGTGTTAAAGTATGGTTTGTTTGTTTGTTTGTTTGTTTGTATGTTGTTTGAAGCCGTACTCAGCTATATTCCAGCTATATGACGGTGATCTGTAAATAATAGAGTCTGGACCAGTGATTGACATCATGAGCATTGATTTACGCAGTTAGGATATGATGACATGCATCAACCAAGTCGGCAAGCCTGACCAACCGATCCCGTTAGTCGCCTCTCACATCAATCTTGGATTGCTGAAGACCTATTCTCTACCCTGAACTTCACGGGTCTGTTCAAGTATGGAAGTTTTGACATGTGTAGTGCTACAATAGCTTTGTGAATCAGTTCTCTGGTGTTCTTATAAGTCATGAACATATGGCTTGGTTGTTCACTGTGTACAATCGTTTTTCATACTTTAGGTCATGAGAAATTAATTAGTAGATTTTCATGCCCAACCGCCTCACAACCAAACTCCTTCCTGCCACTGATTTATTGTCTCCAAGTACCTAAAAACTGTGAATATTGCTTTGTGTGGTGTCTTTTTTCTTTATATGATGAAGTTGAGGAAATACAACAAATTCTACACTTAGTGCTGATCAGTTCTTGAGATTTTAAAAACGTGTTCCGTCAGAATGAGATTCACATTTGCAGACAGTTTGTGTTTTAAAATTTGATATAAAATGCCTCACGCCTAGCATTGTTAAAAATTGATGAAAATCTAATAATTAATATATTTTGGCCTAATTCACATTTTCATATGTCCACTAAAACTCCAGTTTGGAAACCACAGCTTCCAGATGATTCTGTGGCTGTTGTTGCTATTACTGACATGTTTATACCGTACCACGTGATCCCATGTTGTTGTTTATATCAATATTTACATACAAAGGGGCATAACTCCTGTATACTCTCTTTTAATCCAGTATCTGGACAATTGCACTGAGAAATGGTTGTGTCCAGTTTAACAGGGTGTACGTGTATCTGTTTTTACACTTACACAGAAAACACAGAACTTTGTGATGATAATTACTGGCAGAAGGTGGCCACGTGCACTCTTCAAAAAAAGAAACACACAGGTAGATTTTTAGTAAATTTATTGTACCTAATAAAGTCGATATATTTAATTTAATATCATAGATACAAATATGATAATTTGGAGCTCGATAGCCACATGTTGTCGTTGTACAATGGCATTGAAAACTGTTCATTGTCATGTCACATAAGGCCACAAGGTTGTGCTAAACTCAGTATCTCATGTGACGGCCCCAGGGCAGCAATCACGGCTCTGTTGTGGGAGTGTCTGCAGCGTGTTCTGACGTTGACGATCGAGTTCATTCCAGAGGTGTTCGATTGGGTTGAGATCTGGAGATTTCAAGATCTCTATGGCCGGGGCAAGCCGTTGATGTTGACATTATGAAGGTAGTCTACAATGACACGAGCTGTGTGTGTGGAGTGTTGTCCTGTTGAAACAGTCTTGACAGTCTGGTCCGATATCCTCCTAACACCAGGGATGCGTCCTGCAGTCTCTGTAGCTGTGGCATTGCGATGACGTAGGTGGAACAGTCGAATGTAGCGATCCTGAGCAGGGGTGAAAACTCTTTGTCGGCCTGTTCTCTGTGTATCGGTCACAAAGGCGGCAAATGGTGCTGTGGTGGATGTTGAAGATGCATGCAACAGAAGACAGCGATTCCGCTCTTTGGATATGTCCTAAGGCGATGTTCCGATTGACTGAGTCTCGGCATTTTTGAATTTGAAAAATGTTGACAATTGAATGACAAATTATTTACTTATGCTTGCCTTTTTATAGCCACTACCACAAGTTATGAATGCCATAACTTGCATGTGCATTTTGCTTTATTGTTTTCCTCCATTATATTTTTGAACAAGTGTGAAAACAATGCTGTTTAAGACTTTGCAAATCGACAGTGGCTGTGTTTTGATGCACCGTTTGTCGAATATCAGGCCACCAACCTTTTTCCAATAACATATATCCAAATTATTTACTGGATTTTTTGCGTAATCACTACCTGTGCATTTCTATATTTGAAGAGTGTAGTTAAGGCTTTGTTAGTCATGCTGAATACCTGGGTTCGATTCCACAGGTGGGTACAATGTGGCTGGAATAATATTCCACAGTCTTCTCAAAATGCATTTACTTAATTTTTTGTCTATGTTTTGCCATACAGCTAGGATGATGATGATGATGATGATGATCACAATAATAACAGCAATAACAACAACAACAACTACTACTACTATTATTGTGCTAATGATGATAATCATAATGATAATTATGATTGTGATTATTGCTAAAAGCAGCATAAAACCTTACCCATGCAGTCACTTATTTGATAATTAAGTTATTAATGACATGGTACAGAAAACAAACAAATGAAAAAGGAAGATAATGCTGTGTGGATCCCTGTCAAGATAAGGTCCCCAGTACGCCAGGCTGTCATGAGGGCCATGTATTATGGGGATGACGTTATTTGTCTTGGCCAATGACATGTCACTGTGCCCTGAGGCCATGGATTGTTGTTCATGCTCTCAGTCACATGTTTGCTTGGTCCAGACTCAAGTTTCACCAGCTGCCTGATGCAGCTAGAACACTGATGACTGTGTCACTAAACAACATGTCCTGAATCACTGCTTGTCACAGATAACACTACAGACTCTATCACAGGGAATCACTGAGGCAAATCTGCACTACACACATCACTGTCAGCTGGCTGTACAGTCCTCTCTCTGTCACACTCTCACAGTGTAGCTAATGAATCACTCAAGGTCTTTCATTCCCCAAAACACACAAAGACATAAACAAGCTTTTGTTGCATGTGTGACATCTTCACGAGGCAAGGAACTTAACCCGACTCTAAAAGTCAAGTTTCCCCCCTTGCTGAACCAGGCTGGAATTTCTGGGCTCGAGTGGCTATTAGGAGTTACATCCCTTCCATGCCCCTCCTATTAACCAATAAGATTCCACCTCTATCACTTGCATTTGCTTTAAACAAAATGGCGGCACCAATTCAAGATGATCTGAACATGATCAATATATGTTGTAATAAAACAGGTCTTACATCTCGAAGTGCATCAAATGACATAAGCACCTTGATTAAAAACATGAAAAGATTTGGAAAATATCTGTCAACGCCTAGTTGACGGTACACATCTTCTGCAAATCCTGGTTGTTAATGAAACGGATGTTGATTTCATAGACTCGTTCATCCTAAATATAACTCAATAATTGCATCCTAGTCGGCAAGGATGGAAATTTTACTTTTACAGTCAGTGAACTCCCTTGCTTCAGGAAGATGCATGTGCGAAAAGCTGAATGAAAGCCCCTCATACCTATCACCAGTGTAGAAGTGTGAATGTATGTGTATGTGGTCTCAATGAAAGAAATCTGATTAGATTCTAAACAACATGGCCACTGTAATGAAAATGTCATTTTGGCCAAATGTGTGCAGGTCTTGCAAGCTTTTTTTCCACACAAGACATCACTATTATAATTTCACAGTCAGATATAAAAAAGTCCCAAATATTAAACTTGAAATTCACTCTCTTAGTCAATGATTTTCTGCCCCAAATGTTTTGAATGTTGAAGTAACTGCATGTCTGTATCGTGTAGGGGTGGTGGGGTAGTCTACTTGTTAAATCATTCACTCGTCATACCGGGTTTGATCCCCTTCATGGGTACAATGTGTGAAGTCCATTTCTGGTGTCCCCTGCTGTGATATTGCTGGAATATTGCTAAAAGCCGTATAAAACCACACTCACTCACTATGCATTTTGTAACCTGTAATTGTATGTATTATAATTTCAAAATGGCTTCTGACAATGATTGAGAAAGGACTACTCAACTGTTAGGGGTACTCAATATCAATCGCCCCCTACCCCGTCCCCAGTGGAATGATACATATACTTAATCCAATCAAACAGCAAATAGCACCGCTTATTAGCGCTGAGTAGAGCATATACGTAAAAACAATAAACAGTTTATATGTTTATTCTGTTGACGGGCATGAAGGAAGTTCAAAAGCTATAAAGTAATTGAACCAACAGTTCACTGATTGGTATGTGGAGAAAGTGTCAACAAACTTGAAGGCAGATCTCAAGACAAAGGCTGTAGATCTGAGGAGTGTGGTGAAGCCTATCAGTGCGTGTTGGGTCGTGTCGGCCTTTTGACGAAGTGTTGCGTGGTCTGCGTCTCTCTGGACTGCTGGAGTGGTCAATGATGCCTATAGTTTGACATGAATGGGTAGAACTCTTACCCCAGCAGTGATAACTCACACGATGCCCTTTGTGTAATTCCTATTCTTTAAATGACATTGTTAAACACTTCTTACAACTGCTGCTCAATAAACCGTGTTTGTGTTTATATTCAAGTTGGTGTTTCCCATATCCAAACTGTGCAGTGACGCCGTCTTATTGTTGATAGTCATTTTGGAGACATGTTCAACATGTTTGGAGAAGTTTCATAAATGCGAACAAAGACCACTCGCATTTTATCACATTTAATTTACGCTCACATTAATTTCAAGACTAACAGTATCATGGTTTCCCAATCAAATGCAGTAGAATTACTTGCAATGTAATTACTGAAGTATCCCCCCCCCCCACCAAAAAAAAAAAAGAACGAAAGAAGAAATACTGCCAACACAATATCTGGAACTTAATCTTATTTCAGTCTTAATCTTATCTACCCTACCTGAAACTAAAGAACTTAGTCATTGAGAGAGCCATAGTGACACTGCATGAAGAAAGTTGAAGTCATTGAAGTGCCATAAAATATGTCTGAACAACTCTCCTGAGCCTCATACTGCTGATATCTTGGAGAACATTTGTTGACATATAGCTGACTCAGCAGATCTGATTTACCAGTCTCGTGTTTACTCTAGCGGTACGACATACACATTGTAAAGTCATGTTTCTGGAAAGATATCATGATGACATAGAATTTGT